GGTATGTAGAGTCATTACTGTACATACGAATTTCTACATCGTGTGGAATGGCAGCTCAAATAGTCGTAGGCCGGTAGAATTGAATCTAACTTCAGCTTAACAGATAATATCACATAACGTTTTAGGACAACATGGAACCTATTGGTTCATCTCCGTTGTTCCATCCTCTAAACTAAATTACATTATTTAAAAAAAAATCTTAAAGCCAGTCCTTACCATTCCTACGCTTATTAATATCAAGTTTTTTCTTAAACTCATTAAAATTTACTGCCTCTACAACATCCAAATGCAACCAATTCCCAAGGCCAACCACCCTGTTAGAAAAATGAAACTATCTTAGCTGAAGATAACTTCTATCCTGCCAAAATTTATATTTGTGTCCCATACTCCTTCTGTTCTCACTCTTAAATACGAAAAAAGATGATGCATCAACATTATCAATTCCCTTAACAATCTTTGATGCCTCAACCATATCCACTCTAACTCTTCTTTTTTGAAGAGAAAACAATTTGAGAGATTTCAGCCTCTCCTCATATGACAACCACTCCCAGGCACCATTCTAATAACCCTTCTCTGAACCATTTCGAACAATTCAATGTCCTTCCTAAGGTAAGGAGCCCAAGACTGAACACAATATTCCAAATGTGACCTGTACAATGAAATTATAACCTCTTTACACTTGCATTCAATATTTCTGAAGATACAACCTAAGATCCTACTTCCCCTACAACAAGCAACAGCTTGGTTGGCTTTAGAGACTGATCGATTATTACACCGAAATCCCTTTCCTTCATAACACTCTTAAGGTTATTCCCATCCACATTATACTTATAATTCAAATTATCTTACATTGCATTATCTTATATTGATTATAATTAAAACCCATTTCCCCTTATAATCGCCCAATTATGTCATTGATGTAAATCAAAAATGAGCAAAGGTTCTAAGACTGAGCCCTAAGATAACCCACTTGTAATATTAATCCAGTTTGACTGAACTCCATTTGTAACAACCCTCTGTATTCTTCCATCCAGCCAATCTTCTAGCCAATTTGCTTACTTATCCCCCACACCTATAGATATAAATTTTTACAAAGCCTTTTATGTGGCACCTTGTCAAATGCTTTCTAAAAATCTAGATACACCAAATATATGCCCTTACCCTCATCTACATAAACAGTAACATTTTCAAAGAATGTCAAAAGATTTGTAAGGCAAGATTTTTCCTTAGTGAAACCATGTTGACTATCAAAAAAAATTCTAGACTTTGTTAAATGGCTTTCCAAAGCATCTTTTATCAGACCTTCCATAACTTTTCCCACAAATAATGTAAGACTAATGGGTCTACAATTACTGGGACAATTTTTCTCATCTCCCTTGAAAAGAGGAGTGACATTAGCTAACTTCCAATCCTCTGGTACCTGCCCACTATTCAAGTACTTCAAAAAATAGAGCAAGTGGCTCACATGTCCAATCTTTAACCTCCTTCAAAACCATTATCTGGCCCAGGAGCCTTATCATACTTTAAACTTCCCAATTATTTCTTAACAAGCTCAGAATTAATGCAGTCATCTTGTTTCCACCTGTCAACTGTTCAAAACGTGGTATACTGCTTAAACCTTCAATAGTAAAAACTGAAGAAAAAGAAAAATTTAATAATCCAGCCATCTCATAACCATCAGAAAGAGACTTCCTTTATCATCCCTCAAGGGTCCTACAGGCTAGTTAATAAGGATAGAGTACTAAAGAGAGGGGGGAGGAGTGGCTTTATATGTAAAATGTGAGTTACATCCTGTTGAAGTTGAGGATATCAAAGATAATACCAAAAAAATTCACTCCATTTGAGTTTCTGTTTTGTTGACCCTTAATGTATTTAAAGAAATCCTTACTGTTAATTTTTACATTTTCAGCCAACCTTTTCTCATACATCTCTTTGATGTCCTAATTTCCTGTTTCACCAACTTTCTTTATCTTCTAAATCTCCCATCAATTTCAATTTCTTAAAGTTATGATGATTTTTTTTACTTTCTCTCTGTGAGCCAACCTGGTTTTTTTTTACTTGCAGCTATCCTTTTCTTTCTATAAGGAATATGTTTACATTGAATATTTAAGAAATTATCTTTAAAAATTTTCCACATCTCATCAGTTTCTCCAAATAGCTCAGCTCCCCAGTTCACAAAAAATAATTACTGTAACATTCCTTCAAAATTTACTTTTTTGAAACTTGTAACCAAAATATCATTACTCCTTATCTCCATATGCAGCAAAACATTGAGCCTAATAGTGCAATGATCAATTGCACCCAGATGTTCCCCAACATCCTCTCAATCATTTCTGTATTTGAAGTTAACAATAAATCTAAAATAGCATTTTTCTCCCTCATGGTTTGACTCTAGCATTTCCCAATCTAAATGCCTGAAATTCAAATCATAATTGTGACTTCATTAACAACTGAAATCTTAATCTAACTGTAAAGTTTCTCACTATTTTCATCAGTATCATTTGGTGGTCAGTAACAATTTTCCACTACAAGCCTTTTATATCCACTAATAGAAACCCAAATGGAGTGAATTTCCTTGGTATTATCTTTGATATCCTCAACTTCAACAGGATCTAACTCACATTTTACATATAAAGCCACTCCTCCCCCTCTCTTTAGTACTCTATCTTTATTAAATAGCCTGTAACCCTGTATTTCAAAGAAATTTCCATCATCAAAATCATCTGCATTTAACCATGTTTTCAATTATTCCCATTATATCAAAATCCTCCATTCCTACCACTGCTCTAAAGTCATCTATTTTTTTCTTATACTTCTAGCATTACAATAATAACAATTAATCCTACACTTATAACTACTTCTATACTCATTTCCTATGATAAACTTTTCTCTGCCTCTTATTCTTTGGCATTTAGTTTTTTCTGGCCCCCACCACTGTCTAGTCCTACTTTAAAACTTCCCTTACAGCTGTGTTAATAATCCTAGCAAACAAGACAGCCCATTCCAAAAAGCTCCCTTCTTCCATTGAATTGATCCCACAAGTCCAACCAGCCAATATATTCATTCTTACTTACTAACCTAAGCCTAGTATTTAGCCCTAGTGACAAATTTATAACTACATCCCCACAGTTCATTCTGGGCAATATCCCTGACAAAATTTAGTTATGGTATTTTTCTTTAAATGCCTTTATCAACCCCAGACATCATTAGCCCCAGTGTACACAACAAAAACTGCATCTATGCTAGCCCCCTTTATTATACCTCCTGCTCTGTAAGTTATATCCTCCATCTACACCCATGGGTAGCATAATCTAATTCTTTTCTCCCTATTTAACCCACAGACTCCTATATACATGCCTTGTCAAGGAATCACCTGTAAGTATAACATCCTTCTCTGACCCTTTTTCTTTCTCCAACAATAGCTTTTCGTATGCAGAAGGGCTGAAATCAGTTCCTTAATAGAATAGGCTCATTTCTATTAAATCCACTACTTTTAGTGCTAATAGTACTCTTTCTAACCTCCTTTAAGTCATTGTTAGGTGATGTATTCCTTGCATGTAAAATCTTAAGCTTCTCCTGAAAACCTGCTCCCATTTCCCAGTCTACACTTCTCTTTATCTGTTGCCTCTACTTTGATTAGGATATTCTCCAGCTTACAAACTCTACATACAAATTGCACATCTTCACTACTAACTTCCTTAAAAGTATATTCCAGTCCCAATGTAATGTCCCAATGTACCCATTACTCCTAACAAACTGTGAATGCTTAATTCCTACATTAGTCTTAACCATTGCATTTATACTTATAGCCTGAAAATAAATACTCAATACCAACTATCAGTAGCCTATTGTCAACACTGTTACTGTTAAGCATAATGTTTAAGAACCAATTATATTAGTTTTTTATCGCTACTTTGTCTTCACACTAATGTAATTAACTTTATCTTTAATTATGTAGAACCTAAAAATAAAACTTTATTAGAAGTGACAATAACTAGTCTTTACTTTGATGTATATGTAATGTTAATAATACAACGTATTTAGCCTGATTTATATTATAACCTACCTATAACTATAGCCTAGACTGAATTTAAACTAATAGATCTAAGTTCAAGTAAATAAATCAACCCTTAAAACATTAAGAGACAATAAACTAGTTTTTAGCTTGTATTTAGTTAATAAAAGAATGTATTTAAACTGTTTTACGATTTACCAGTAAGTTGAATTATACCTAAGCCTAAAGTGCCATTACACATACTAAACCTAATTTAACGTTGTAGTAAAATTTACACCACTAAACTCCAAGTTAAAACTTTGACTGTCTTACTTTTTTTTTACCAATCCTACTAAATCTAGTTATACTTTTATTATTTAACCCAAATTACCAAAATGATATTATTAATATTAAATAATTTTCAAAAATCTATAAGGTCTTGTCTTTTCAACATCTTTGCTTTTCCATAGCGCCCTCTAAGTATGTATCATACCAATTGCAAAATTGGAACACTCAATCTTCTTTTTGGGGTTTTGATGTGATATGTTAAATCATGTAAATTGAAATATTTCATAAACATTTAGTTTTATCACTGGATATTTGTTCTGGTACTAGTTGTCATTAATTTTCACTGTGATGTATGGCTTCAGACAGGATTTAATCCTGTGCAGCTTTGCTCTATACTTGCTTCAAGTTGTACTTCACCTGTATTAAAATAAGGTTCTCATAAAATGAAAATTTGTTAATTGTTTTTGGTCTGGTCTTTATACTGAGCATGTAAGAGGCAAAAACATAAAATTATTCAATATGATGCAATATGTGGACTCCATTAGCAGTAAACAGTATAAGAACAAGCTTGTAAGTTGAAGGTAAAAATAATTTTTCTCACTTCAAGTAATTTAATTGAAAAAAGAAATATTTGTCAACAGCAGTGTAATCAACATGTGAGGCTTAAAAAAGAACAATATATATATAAACAAGACTGAAAATTTGAGGTACAGTTATAAAACATAAACTGGAAAGATTGCATTTTAATCAGGCTTTTTATGCAACATTGTAAGCATAATTATAACGAATTGTGACAGTTGCTAAAAACAACATTAAAATCATATTGCAAGATTAATACAGTTTAAATCTATGTTGGATTATCAAATATATGAATATTCAGTAATTAAATAAAAGTGGCCAAATATTAAACAGCTTAAGAAAACAACACCTATCTTTATGAATAAAAAAGATGGTAAAAGAGCTTTTTAAGACTAGTAGTTTATTGGATAAAACCATAAATTAAATATATATATTGTTAAAATTGAAACCCACTAAATATATAAAATGCCCAACTAGTATGTAATTATATTACAAGAAATTTAAATTTTTATAGAGCAATAAAATTCATTTAAATTTTATGTGGCCATTAACAAAAGTTAGACTATATTATTAGTAATTAAACTATTGTGACTAGCTGCAACAAAAATAAATCTTTAAATGTCAGTTTTGACTACATATACTTCGAATTTCTAGTGCTAAGAAGCAGTTCTATTGTTTCATAACCAAACCTATTTTTAACTATGAATTTAATATTGCAAAAATGAATAAAAAATGGAATCCTTACCCTAATTCTGATTTGTGAGTTAAAGTTAAAATTGATATAAAGTTACACTTCACAAACATAATCAAACACCATAACAGTTGTTGTTCATGCAATTTAGTAATCAAAATAGCAACTCAGCCACTAATATGTCTGTCATGTCACATCTTTGTATTGGCTGAAAGGCCTCATAAGGACTAAATATAGCAGATATAGTGTGGTTGATATACTGTTATACATAATTCTTTACTGTGAATCACAAGTTCTTAGATATTATTATCAGTATTTAAAACAATGATTTTTAAAGGCTTTAAAATGAAATTCATAGATCTTAATACTGTAAAAACAAAAACAATGGGAACATATTATGAAAGTATTCATGACATTGTGAAGTAACTTATAGTTTTGAAACACGTGGATCTTACATATATGCCCTTAAATCTCATATAAATTTATAAATTGAAACACTTCAGCTTAAATCAGCAATGATCAGAAACATAACCAAAATGTAAACAAAGATGACTAGACAGCACTTAAAGGCTACTGGTGGAAATGATAATGTTTAAAAATTATTACAATCTTGAGGAACAATGTCTATCATGGTAAATACTATTAGAATTCTGTTCCATTTCAATTAGCTAAGAAACATAATCGGTGATACTAATTTGAAGTTTAGTAAATGGTTGTTTTTTGGTCAACAATGTTCACAAGGCCACAATTAAACTCTTTGGTAATAGATTATGACACAATAACAAAACTCATGTTGATTGAATTTGAGTTTTAAATCCTGAAACACCAACAAATACAAAGGCACCCCATTCTTTGGAGTAGAATCCTTCTTTCATAAAACTGATCATTGCCAGTCTCATAGCTTTTGGTGCATCTTCATCTTCCTGTAAAATTAGAAAATACTCAGATTTATTTAACAGTCTATTGAATAACTGTATATTTGTAAACATATTCATTTCACAATTGAAATTTTAAAGACTTTTTTCAAAATAATCTTATCATTTTACAGCATCTTGTACAATGATCTACTAAACATAAAAAGGTATATTCAGAATTTCATATATCAAATCATAATGATGTGAGCTGCGTGTGCTTGGCTATCAAGATGTTTTTACTGAGCCTAGTAGATTATAAGTTATGGAATATGACATGGCAGATTACAACCAAACACAATTAAAAAATAAGACCCAGTGAATATTCTAATTACACGTAATACTATTTCAGTTATACCATGTGTTTCAAAGTCATTTCCACTCTTAAGATGACTGCATTGAGCAAACTGATGAACATCAAGTTATGAAACTTGGTGCATGGAGCAGCTTGACCATGAAGAAGACAACATACACATTTGTGTGGAGTATCACAATGACATCATGATCATACTATGTGGTACTTATGGACATAAACCTCAATGTACAAAATCATATTCAAGCATTATGTACAAATCACTAAAATGTTACTTTGTCTCTTCTATGGTCAAACTGGTCTATAGAAAGAGTTTCACAACAATGTATTTATCGGTTTCTTGAATGCAGTCATATTTAAAAGAGAAAGTGACTTATCAGACACCTAGTATATAAAAGAACTGGTGATAATGAAAAGGATCTTAATCTAACCGAATAGCTTTGTATGACTGACTTTTAGTTTAACCCGCTGAACACGGGAAGGTCAAAGTGTACAGTTACATTCACAATTTAAACTATTTTATTATCAATGTATATCAGTAAACATGGCATCCAAATTTTCATATTATCTAAGTTTTTTTTTTAACTTCAAAAGGAAATACTTAAATAAAATCTGAGACTTCACTTCTCTGTATCACGTGGCAATTCTTCACTTTGAATTGCCCATTTTAGACATTATTTATACCCTTACTTGAGTCTAAATTTTAATCCAAATAACATGCTTATAGTATACATAAAACATAATCTAAACTTATAACCTCCAATCTTCTTACTTTACTGAGATATAAACCAGGAAGTCAAACCCACATGCTATACTGTTCTATCACATCCAGTCTTTTAAACAATGTCAATAATTCTATCTAATATTTGATATTGGATTACTTATAACCAACAAAAATAGAAGATTTTATTTCACTGAATTCCTTATAAGGCTAGCTCATTCTGATGACAGGCTTTACATTATTCTGCGTACTATTTCATTCTTTGCTATTGCCGGGCCACATCGACTAGCTAGTGAAATTATTTGAAACCATTTATAGCTTCATTAGAAAGCCAGTTAAATTTTAATAATTACAAAACATAGTATTTTTTGTGCAAGTTATTATTTTGTGTAACAAACTAAATATTTGAAATAAAAAAATTCAGTAAAATACTAACAACAAACCTACCAAAAATTAGGGTTAAGTTTTATTAAGACTTTGACTTCATAAAAAGGATGAGATCAACACATATGTATTAAGTATCTCGTTTTTATGTATATTTTTTATTGTTATAAAAGAAACTAAACTATGAAAATTTTAAACTTTTGAGATTAGATAAGAAATATAAATGATTAAAAAATTAATAAAAAATGTTTCAGCAAGTAATGCAGTGAAGCTGCTAATGCATGATGTAATTCAATACTTTGTTTACTGTAACTTGCACTATGCTTTTGACGGATGATTTATTGCTAGTTTAGTAGTTAGGCACAGTTTAAAGAGAAATCAAACAATAAAATTAAATGCAATCAGTTTTGAAAAGGTTGGAGGAGTGAAGATCTTAGGATAAATAACTGTAATTTGTCTGTTACAATATGCAATCATTATAGAAAGAAAAAAAGGGTACTTATTATTTATTTTGGATTTTTAAGTGGTGGTTACAAGATTGGTCAAATGGACCAAGCTCATATATGATGTTAGGGTAGAGAAAATGACAGATAAACCAGAAAGAAGTTTAGTGAAAAAAAATTATATTAATTTAAGAGGTTCTGCAAATGAAATATAAAAACTTTATGATGAAAAAAGTATTTTATTCTCAACATGAAAATCGCTTTGCACTCAGACTAGTCATAATCTGAGTCAAACTGATTAAAATATATTCACAGACAAATCGTCAGTAAAAATGCTTAATAAAAAATCTGAACCTTTTTGTACAAGAGACTTAGAACATTTACTAAAAGTGTGCCAAATTTCATGGAGGTACTGGAAATACACTTAGTAAATTCAAAGTCATGTTATGTATACTTTCATGGTTACAAGGTATTCAGTTTGATATATGTTTTTTCCAGAAATATATTTCAAAGTTCATATATTATTTAAGCTTAAAACTTTAAATATTTCTTGTATGTTTACACTGCCTTATATCAATTTCTAGCTATGGTAGGTGTTCATACTAAGACAAATATTTATCAGAAAATTTGTTTAATAGCTAATTCAAAGAACTAATTATTATTTACATGCAATTATTTTAATAAATTTATTTTCATATGTATATATTAATTTACCACAAAATACTTGTAGAACTTTTCCATTAAAAGAGGCGTTGTGTCATCTCGTATCTTCCACAGAGTTCCTAGAACACCAGTAGCTCCTCCTGCCAATAAGCTCCGGTATAGACCCAAAACACCATCACCTTAAGTTAACAAATCAGTGACATTCTAAAACATATGACATGCAGGAAATTAATAGTTATACAATTAAATATATAAATAAATTGGTGACTGGGTTACAAAAAGTAACAGTGATTTTGTGTATATGCACATGACTCGTAATTTATTAATCACTTTAATATTTTTCAATTGCATAAAAACTTCTTTAGCATTTGATTTGATATGCCTTAATTATATGAATCATTTTGCTCAGCTATTAATTCAGATATATACATCTAATATTTCAAAATATCTGTTTTACATTCTTAAGGAATAATGGTTTCACTTACATGTAGCTGCCACGATATAAAACAAAATAAAAAGTATCGATTCATAATAATAATTTTCTGAGTTTTTCCACTTCATCTATGACTTTATTCAATTAACAGATATTGAAAATTAGCAATAAGGATATATTTACTAAAAGTTAGTGGCTATGCTGGTATGAATGTTCAATTTATATGATTTTATAAAATTAACTTGTGTAGTTTGGCTATCTTTCAAACGTTCCATATTCTCTTACCCGATGGTTTCCCAAGTGCTGTCATGCAGCAACTTAGAACAATGAGTTGACAAATACAGTCAAGGTTTTGTAAATCCCTTGAATGCACAAGACCATCTGGAGTAATGTCAGATGGGGCCATGACAAGACAGCCCTGTACTGAATAATCACCACGATCATCTCCAAATCCTTCCTACAAGAGAAAGCCAATTGAAGATACAGGTTATGATAAATAATTCTAATATTTACTGTGTTAATTTATTCACTGTGGATAAAAAAAGAACAGCCTAGCATAAATTTGTTTTTGCTACAGAAGGGTATACCATTAGTGTTATGTATAATGTCAGTCTTAGGTACATAACAGAATGGAAGGAAAAATAATATTACAAAATATACACATAACAACAGTGATCCAAACATTTTTCTAAAATTTACATTAAGAAAAATGATTATTTTCAAACAACTCTGAACTGAGATAAACGAGTTCCACTTTAGATGTATCATTTGTGTTTTGCTACAATTTTACACAAAAGAACAACTTATTTTCAGATGATTATGTCATACAAAAATACAATTTTTTTATTTTCACTGCAAAAACTACTTTAAATTGTGATATATTAGTTCTAAACTTTCACTGTAGATGTACATCTCTGAAGTTTTCATCATGTTCTGACATCTCATTTTCAATCTGCTACAAAATATTAAGTATGTTTTCTGAAGTTTAGCTTTAGCCGTACACCTTCCTATATTTACATAACCATTTAAATCAAAGAATTTTAAACATCATCAGGAAGATTCTGGACAGAACATGGTCTTCAAACCTTGTAAGGGTCTTCCACTGTTGCATGAGATACCACATGGAGTATGTTGCATGCTTGCAAACTGTTAATAAATTCTTCTTTAGTAGCAGCATTTTGATTAACTACTGTGCAGTGGTTTGTTCCAAATATTTGCTGAACCATCTGTAGCTCAGCTTCACCATGTTCCAGTTCTTTCAGTTCGTGTTTGGGGGCCATCTTGGGATTTCCAAAAGCTGTTACCTTTAAAAGTAACTTAACATAAAATAATCTACACGAACTATATTGTTTAAGTTTAAAAATTCAGGTGGGTGTTTGACCTGTTTAGTTATCATCATAGATTTAATGGACACCTAGACAAGAACTTATGAGTTGAAGAGAAATACTAAAGAAATACATCTCACCAAATTATGTTTCTATGAAGGTTAGCTGTTCTGAGTAATGTTATTTTCATTATTAAAACTTCACCAATATAAGTTATAAATAACAATTAACTTTACATCCCTATCATAAACAACGAGTTCATACCATGCTAATTCATTCATCAAACAATGAGTTCATGCCATGCCAATTCATTAAACATAGCTGAAGAGAGCAAAGAAGTACAAGGTGGTAGTGTTCATGTCTTACAACTGATTGCTAGCAAAACAATAATATCAAATGAAATATTTTAAATACTAGCTAAGCTATAAATGTTGAAGTAACAAAAGCTGACCTTCAATTCTGCACTTCCTTGCTTATTCCGTAGTATGTTGAGCCTAGATTGAAGAAGTCGCAGAATTTTTAAACTAGGAGAATAAGATATAATATAATCTTCCACAAGGTACTTTTCTTCTGGACTTAGCAGCAATGAAAAAGGAATGCTGAAGAGATTACCTAATTATATAAAAATAAATATTCAATGTTTTGTTATAGCATTCAATCTATTTTAAAGAATATAAATGTAAGCCCATTATTAGCAAATAATACTAAAAATGAAGCAAACAAGAAATTGCCTGGAACCCTGTGATGTAAATTTAGGAGCACCAACTGTTGTTTCTATTTTCAATCTTCAATCTGTGAATTAACTAGACCAAAATCACTAAAATGTTGTGACAATGTTTTACATCATAAGATCTGACAGTACTAATTTTTAACTTATTACTGTTGTATTATTTTTTCAATTTGTTTAAAAGATTGTAAAATAAGCACAAAAATTGATATTGATACTGGTTGTAAAACATAACCATTTTTGAGAAAGGTTGATTGCTATTTTTGGTGTAAACTTGGCCAGAAACTTAGATATTTCATCACAAACAATACCCTGAAGCATTTGAATAAGAGATGTAACAGACAAAATACAGAAGGTGATCTCTACAATTGTTTTAACAATGGTAATAATGAATGAGCTTCACTAACATCTGAACCTCAAGATTCAAGACAACAACAGTTTTTCATCTGAAGAAGCAAAAGAAGTTTTCATTGTATTCTTTTTTAGAAACTCTTTGCCTTCATTTGCACTTGAAACACTTCATAACATATTGCAGTTGTAAGGACTATGAGACACAGGATCATCTTCTGACATTTTCATAGTGTTCTACATTCATTTTCTATGCTTTAAAACAGGAAATGGTACAAATAAAAACGATCGACTTTTAACCTGAAAATGGCAAATACTGGGCATATAACACTGCATGTCTCCCCAGTGAAAATGGTTACTGACATTGTCTTCACAGTGTGGAAGCCCTAATACAAAGCTATCATACTTTTAGTAAATTTGAAAATATTCTGGATGTTACACCCTCTAGATTTAACACCAACCTGGATCTGGTTAAACCACAAATGTGAGGTTAGGTAAAAATTCAAAAAGTGTGACATCAGCAACTACCAATGAATGTTCATAAAAAATATTTAAAGGATGCATTGGAAGGTCCTCATTGGTTCAGCACTTTAGATCTGGCAAGTAGAAATGGATGACAAGAGCAGACCTAAAAATTATTTTACCAAGAGAGATGGCTTGCATGAGTTTTGAATTATGTCATTTGGTCTATAATGCGCACACTACTTTTTAAAGGCTAATGGAACTGCAATGGACAAAATGCCTGGTCTATGTTTGTGATGGTTAAGGTTTGATCACACATTCAAGTTTGTGGCTGAGAACCTGAAAATGGTATTCCTGTTGACAAAACAGGCAGACTTGAAACTGTGCAATCATATGCATGGATGCGGAATTTCTCAATCATACTGTGGATAGGAATGAAGTTTCAACAGATCCTGCTAAAGTAGTATCAGTGAGACACTGGCCTCAACCCATGATGAATTCATTGGTCTTTGATCGTAACACTGACACTTTGCAGCCAACTACTCCATGATTGCCTCACCAGTGTCAGCTCTCACTAAAGTAGAAATATGCTTCGGATGTAATGAAGAGTATGAGTAAGCATTCCAGTTCTTGAAGCATGCTTTAGAGGAAGCTCCAGTACTAGCATATCCACAACAAGACTGAATTATTGTTAGATACCAATGGTAGCAACAGTGGAATCAGAGCAGTGTTATCCCAGTTGCAGAATGGAGTAGAAAGTGTAATCATCTATGGTAGTTGCATACTCATGATTCATGAATGTAGATACCGAATGAAGAAAGAACTGATCAAAGTTGTGGTCTACATAAAACACTAGTTATATAGTAGAAAAGTTACTACCAGAGTGTATCATGCATTACTGAAATGGTTGATGAACTTTTCAAAATCTGGAAGGGATGATTGCATGTTAGTTAACAGCATTGCAACAGTATGAGTCATATAGCACTGTCTGGCCCCCACAACATGGAAATTATGATGGATTGTTGTGTTCTGTGGTAAGATTCTGTCTGTTCATCGAATATACTAATTCTGGACACTGTGTGGGAGTTGAAACCATTTCAGTCATGGTGACATCAAACCAGTAGGTCATTCCACTACTGCTAACATTTGATAGCAGTTCTTCTGGCTGCACTCAAGCTGTTCATCACTACTTTCAACAATGTATGGTGTGTGTACAACCCACAGAAGTCAGTTAAAATACAATAAACTTCAGCAGAGAATTGTTGGTTCTCCTTTAGGAGACCAGCCTTGGCCACTTCTGGTTCACTCCCAGAGATGGAATAAGGTTATCATTATATATTAATAGCTATCAACTATTTCACAAGGTGAGATGAGGCCTATCCGTTGACTGACACATCAGAACAGTACTGGATGGCATAGTTTGGAGCACCTGAGAAGACTGACACAGATCAGGAAGCTAACTTCAACAGCCATCTGCTCTCTGAAGTGTGTAAAAAGTTAGGTATGGTGAAAACTCACACTCAGTTTGATAGGTTTAGCTGAATTGGTAATACAGACTGTCAAGCATATGCTTACCATATTTTTCAATCTTGATAAAACTGACCAGGATAAACACTCACCATATGTGATGATAACGTATAGAGCAATTGAGCAAAATTAAACAAGATGTTTTTGAACATCCTCATATTTGTTCAAGAAGTATTGCTCCCTGTAGATCAGAGTTACAGTCCTCCTTCTAGAGTAGATGTTACACAGTGTTTACAAGAATGGTTAAAGTCTGCCTTAGTTGATGCATATGAATATGCTAGTTGACAACTAGGAAATGGCACCACACAAATAAAAGGTGCTAAGATAAAACAGTGGAAGAAAGGGTATATATGCATAGAGATGTGTATGACATTGATATATGCCACTGGCATGATAGAAGCTTATTTCCAACTGGAGAAGACCTTTTTTCGTGCTCTGACAAGTTGGTCCATTAAAGTACAAGTTTAAGCAGTCAAGAGATGTGTGAAAGTGTGTAATACAGTATTGTGCAAAAGTGTTAGGACAAAGTAAAAAATTAGATTTTAGGCTACTTTCAAAGAACAATGGAAGGTAAAACATCAAAATTTTATTAATCTTCATATTTAGTAGAACAGAAACTCAGTGGAAGTGCTTGAGTTCAGCAAACAGTTAATATTTTGTGTGCTCCCTTTTGCTTTAATTACTGCAGACAGTCTTTCAGGCATTGTTGCAACATATTTAATCAAAGTGACTTTGGGATTTTACTCCAAATGTCTCTAATACACTCCCATTAAGTTTCTTTGGAAGTAACTTTGATTTGTCAAGTTTTTGATCTATCAAATCCCAGATCTGCTCAATTGGGTTGAGACTGGGGCTATGTGGGGGCCATTGCATCATTTGAATGACTCCAGCAGCTTCTTTCCTAGCTAAGTAATTTCTGCATAGGTTGGATGAGTATTTGGGGTCATTACCTTCTTGGTAGTAGAGTCTTTTGCCAATAATAAGTAAACCACTGGGTATACCATAATGGATCAATATCTGATGGTACTTGTACTGATCCATTATTCCATCTATTTTGCAAATATCTCCTGTCGCCTCAGCAGACTCCCCCCCCCCCAAAAAAAACACAAAAAACAAGCATCACACTGCTTCCCCCATGCTTCATGGTAGGTGATATGTGTTGAGGTAAGCATATTTCACCTTTTTCCACTGGATGTACAACCTATGCTTTGAACCAAATATTTCAAACTTGGACTCATCCATCCATAACATCCTTTTCCAATCATCAGCAGTCCAGTTTTGTACTCTTTAGCAAAATTCAGTCTCTTGACAATATTTGGAGATTGAAGTAAAGGTTTTTAACTGCTACACGACCAAATATTCCATTCTCGTTGAGTCTTCTTGATGCTGTAGATCTTGACACTTTTCTGTCATTTGGTACTTGGTCGTTTATCTCGTGTTTGAGATCAGTGGCAGTTTTCCTTCTGTCTCGAAGGGTGCATAAACAAAGATACTTAAGATCAGTATCACTGAGTTTGGGTGTTCTGCCTCTTTCTTTCCTATTTTAAAATTTACCTGTCTCAGTCTCACGATGTAGAGTGTACTTGACAGTGTTTGGGGAGCATTTCAAGTCTACAGCAATTTGTAGGAGAGTCCAACCAGCATCACGTAGAGCTTTTATGCAAACTCTCTGCTATACTGACAATTCTTTATGCTTTTTGGGATGTGGCATGACAAAAAAACTTAATATATGATGTTAAACTCTGTTTCTATCAAGGTGTATTTGCAAAGTACTATTAAATTGATTTCTTCTAGCATATACCTGTACCATATGCTAGCTTCTTTCTATATAGTTAAGACACTACATGGGGTACCATGACAGTTATTTCAGACCCTAAATTTGGTCAGCATGTTCATTCAAGCAGAACCCTTATGACATGCACTTGGTACAAGTATATGGGAATTCTAAAGAATGATAAGTATTCTCACCCTGGCTCATTCAGTTGTCAACAATGATTAGTGATGCATTACCATAGTGTTGAAATTTACATTCTGTAATGGTATGGAAGAATTAGCCTCATGAAATGGAAACAATGACAAAATATTCTCTTGTCCTAACACTATTGTAGAGTACTGTACATGTGTAGAAGCAGGTTGACCAGCAGCATCATAGGTTACTGGTTAGCTTTTTGTGCACTGACTTGACCACGAATCATAGGAAAGGAGTGATGAGTCAGAGGGGGATGAGAATACTGTTTTATTTCTCCTAAACCCAGAAGGTGAGGAGGAAAAAACTAGAAGTTTCTATGTGGCTGTTCATGATAAGCCAGATGAAGAAATATTGGATCTAGAGGTTAATAACAGCTCCAAGTATTAGCTAAACCACTGCTGACAGCTTCCTAATCAGTATGGCTGAAATTAAACCCAATCATATGCATAGTTCTGATGAGTTTCACAATAGGAGATATCTCTAGGATATCAGGTTATACCTTATTGATTATCATAAGTTAGAACAGTCATAAGGTTGAAAAATCAATGACTGAAAGGGAGTTGCAACCCTTGCTTTCTCAGGTAGTGAATAATTTTCTGAAGTGAAATCTCATTTGACATTTTGAGAGAACTGCTTGATCTAGATGAGTGACAGAAGTTCCATGTATCATACGACATGGTCCTCACTGGATTCTCTTCAGTACACTTTAATGTGTATATGATTTTTCATATGCAGTAAGGGAGTTGTCTTTGCTCTAAGCATATATTGATGTGTATATATACTGACATCACAAATATTAATTCTGGCTGATGAAAATTATAGATGTATTGTCTTACTGAATTTTTCTAAGAATTATTTATTTTGTAATCACTGAAAAGAATAACGCGAACGTTTGGTGGCTTGTAGATGGCAGTATATTAACCCATTCACTGTGGCTGGTACATATGTGGTCTCTGAATTTTTTTATGTTCACTGCAGCTGGTACATTTTTGGATTCTTACTTTTAAAATTCCTGCACAAGGTTGTGAATCGTAAATTTTTGTGGTAATGTTGTCCATTGACATTCTGCTTTATGTTGCCATATAGTAAGTGAATTATTTCTGCCTTCTATGTATCAGTTTCTATCAACATATCAGAGGCCTGTATGACAATGTCTCACTGCCTTGGCAGCAATACCTGCCAGAGACAAGACCAAGATTATTTTATGGTTTGTTTTGAATTTTGTGCAACGCTACATGAGGGCTATCTGTGCTAGCCATCCCTAATTTAGCAGTGAAAGACTAGAGAGAAGGCAGCTAGTCATCATCACCAACTCTGGGGCTACTTTTTTACCAATGAATAGTGGGATTGATCATAACATTATAATACCCCCACAGCTGAAAGGGTGAGCATGTTTGGTGGGACAGGGATTCAAAACCATGACCCTCAGATTGCGAGTCAAGCGCCCTAACCACCTGGCCATGCCGGGCTAATTATTTTATGGATTTACCGGATAGCATTGACTCTGACGAGTTAATGCAGTGAAATGAAAATAAAAAATTTAGAGGCCATAGATGCACCAGTCACAGTGAATGGGTTAAAGACAACAGTTATTATGAAAATGAAACTTATGGAAGGTAACCTGAGATAACTACCAAAGTAAATTTGCTACAGACAGTCCATTTTAAGCTACTAGTGTAAGTGATAATGTGTAGGTATATGTATATGGCAGTATACGTGAATAAATAAAATGTAGGTTTGCGATCTCATATATGTGTATGAACATTATACAAAGTCATGTATTGTATAATGAGAATGGAAATACAGGATTTTATTTCAACTTTATAACTTTGTGATATAAAGTAACTGTTATTATTGACTTGAAAGGTATTATTTATGGTCCTCTAATTTTCATTAATACTAGTAACAAAATGTTTCAATTTTGACATTGATATAATTGGCAGGTAGTGAATTTTCATAGAAGAATAAGAATAACAAGGAAACTCACACTACAGCTGAGAGAAAACAAAGTTTTAATTGTTGGTTTCTGTTTCGCGTAGTGCAGGATATTTTGATTTAATCTAATCAAAATAATTAAGAGTAGATGAAATTATCAATACTATATGAAATTCATGGAAGGTAGCTTGAATATCTTATCAAATGTAAACTTGGTGTATTCAGTTTTTTCTGATTATGATGGAATATGTTTAGTCATGCGGATTGAAATATTTTATAAGCACAAACTTTTACTTGAATACTAGGTACAGTCAAACACACATGAAAATGCAGGCTGAAAGTGTGCTACTATGGGACAGAAAGTAATGCTTACATAGTGAAACTTTCTAATTGCACCTAGATAATACTAAACTTGGATTTGGAAGAAGTGCTGAGGGAAAGTGTCAGTATCATTAACTGATTCTCATGGTCAGAAGTTAGTGGATATATCCACTAAGCTAGGAGAGCTCTTGTGTGTAGGATCTATTTTATGCAGTCAAAAGCCCTTTACTGAAGTAGGTACATTTTTTAAAAACTTAGAATATTTTATTTTTAAGTCATTCTGAAAATAATGCATAGTCAAAATTAGTTGCTCCCCCATGGCACAGTGGTATGTCTGTGGACTTATGCTAGAAACCGGGTTTCAATAACCATGGTGGGCAAAGCACAGATAGCCCATTGTGTAGCTCTGTGCTTAATTCCAAACAAACAAACAAAACAAAATTAGCTGACTATTAATAAATCATTACATAAAAGTGGTTATACTGAATGTAAAACTAAAACAACAAGAAATGAGAGAAAGCTAGAGTTTTAAGCATTCTTAGTGTTAACTCAAGAACTGTTCTCATTATCTTAGAGGTTCTGAATATGTTTAAAATATAACTTGCATGAGGCTTACATCAGAATGTACAGTAACATCCACTCACTAAATTTTGTGAGGGCTAATATTCTACAGGAAGGAGACATTTAATAGTATTCTCTTACTCTAAAGAGTTTCATTTAGAGCATTAAGCTGTTCTTATGACTGTTTACCATTTTGAATAATAAACTCAATATTTTATAAACTGTGCTAATTTAAAATTTTTTAAAGCAATATTACAAGACTTAACTTCTCTAAACATATATTAATTCACTTACTGTGTGGAATAATTATTAAACGTGGGATATCACATTCACTTCTTGGTTGAGGAAGGACATCAGCTATTTCACCAATGCACATATGATAATAATATTGCAGAGTTTCCTTTACTTTGGACTTCTCTTCCTCAGAAATGGTTATTCGTTCCTTTAGACAATAAAATTTATTGGCAGTACAAAATTTGCTGCACCTTTTTTTGTATTATGACCAGCAATATTTGAACTTTATCAACAATCATTAACCTTCAACAAAAGCTTATTAAACTTAATCTATGTCTAGTAAAGCTAACACTTTCCTTACCTGAAAATGTATTTCAGATCTATATTTACCTCTCTAAACTGCAGTGGAATTTTCTGTGCATGCCATATGTCTTGAACAAATTCACACCCCTACATGTCTCTATGTGTATTGTGCCAGCCTATGAAGTAATCATCATAATGCTGCAGCATTTAGCACTCTACCAATAAAAGGGCAACAATGACCTTCATGAGCAGTATTCCCTGTGAGCACTAGCACGTAATCATACGCTTATTGTTGAAAAAGGCAAAAAAAAAATGCACCAGAAGTGGGGAAAAAAGATGGAAAGGTGGTGCAAAGAGGAAGTATCTATCTGAAATGCATTTTCAGTTAAGGAAAATGTTAATTTTAGAAATACTACTTACCTACCTGCACCACTAAGATTTAGAATCCCATAACAAAAATGGTAGAGGGGCTGGTGCAGACCAATTACAAAGATGAGCTCCTTTCTGAAACAGAGACAGAGAGGGAAATCCCACAATGTGTGATTTCCGTGAGACCAGGGTCACCTAGTGAAGCAGCACCCAGTGGGAGATTGCATCCTTCTCAAGCAGGGAATACTTACCCTACTTCTTGTTATTCATATATATATATATATATATAGAGAGAGAGAGTTACAGTAAATAATATTGGGTAAATCCAGTTCCAGTGGTAAATGTGTAACAAAAGTGGGCAAAATGTGGGAATATGTAGTGTGGTTAGGGTGTTAGGCCATTCTATCTTGGTGAAATACTTATACGAGATAGATACTGTACAGACAGATGGAGAGAAGAAGAGCTCACACCAATATCCCAAACCAAATCAAAGTCCCATCCAACTGGACATATCCACCCCACCCCACCAGGAACTGCTTGGAAGATAATGGGATATCCTATGTTACACTGCCAGGGAACATCATAGCTGTACATCTCACATGAGGTGTGAAAACACATCACTTGCAGAGGAACTCACCATATCGACATCCCCAGTGGCTTGGGACAGGGGGAAATAAGTGTTCTCAGGTGCTCCACTAGAAGCTTTGAGGGAGGAATATGCAATGGGGAGATTACTGGAGAGCCTTTGTGGACCACTGTCATCATGTACAATCCTCTGGATTTGGGTTCACACTGAGATACAGTACAATGAGTTACTAAGACTACAAACAGCAAGTGCAAGTCAGATGTAATGGCAGGACTATACCTGGTGCTGTTGTTCACTGTTGACCATGTAATTTATAGAGATATGCTGCCAAAGCAGTCTCGAAGAAAAACCCCTCTCAATGGCAGTTATTGAGCAGATGGGTTTAACATTTCCATTCTCCCTTAATCAATGCATATTTCGGATAAGTATTCCCTGTGAGGAGACAGTGACCCCTTTTCAGGTTCCAATGGCAAGAAGCACAAAAACTAAAGTGTAGTTCCTCATGTAACATTTGATCTGGTCAGTATTGTCTACTTCACTTCAGTTTGTTTTTGTAGTTTTTCTTCTCAAGGAACTTGCAATGTTTTGGAATGTATATAAAAATCATGGTACATGCATGGAGGTTCCATGAAACATATGAATGACATGGAGATCACTGAAAGACAAAACAGGAAAAACTCATCACATTAGAGCCTCTGGATAGATTGAAGAATTGCAATTGGAAGGAGGCAAAAACCAGAGGTATAGGAAACCACCTAATGACGTAAGAAATAAGAAATGGATTTGTAAGGGATAGTTTATATATACTAGTTTGTAAGATCTCCTCCAAAGGTCAGAGACAATGAAAGGCAAGAGAGGCTAAGATATGCTGACACTGACTAGTGGAGGTGTAAAAAAATGTACGGTCAGACTCACTCAAAGAAGAAAAGATAGCTAAGTTGGTGAACCTAACAAGTTAAAGTGTGCAATGACAAGTCCTGAGAGGATGTCTGGCATGGTAACAATAGACAATGGTAGTTACTACTAAAAGGAGCAGTCTGGGCAAGACAGAAATAGATAGCCCATATAGAACACAAAAGATGAGTAGAATCAGAACAATCATAAAATGGTGAGATAGAGGGGAGAGAGATAGGAGAAAACATCTGACTGCTCTCCTAGGCAGCTCATGTTTTCAGAAGAAATCAGTGGAGTAGAAACAACATCAATTGGTCCCTATGACAGAGAGTACAAGAGGTGTCTAAGGTGTAAATGTCTGAACGATAATAACCACAAATACAGAGAAAATATGTTTTTAGAGACAAATGATACAAGGAACATGGGCCACTAAGGAGGGCAAGTAAGAACCTGAAGAGCCACACAAAGGTTTTAGTAAGGAAGAGGAACCACATGAAGATGGCAAAAGTAAGGGATTATTGCCTGGCAAGAGGCAAAAGTTTGTGGGTAATGCCCCACTGTAACCTGTACAGGAAAAAATAGACAGGCCCTAGATCAAAAGGCAGGTAATGAAGGAAGTAAGATGTGGAAGAGTAGGATGATCTGGATGAAGAGAATGACAGAGGTACCAGTGGCAGTAGACAGCCCATGTACATTGATAGAGGGTGACAGTAGAAGGCGGACAGGAGAGAAAACAGGCTGGTTTGCAGTAAAATTCCATATATCACATAAGGGACTGGACAAATTCCATTCATGAAGGTGAAGGCACAACACCTTGTCATAAAAAACAGACAACCAAGGTCAAATGATGAGAGACCTACAAATTGGAAGTCACAAAGAAAGAAATATATGGGATTCCAAAATGAAAACAAACTGAATGAAAGATAGAAGGATGTAAGGACCACTCTATGGGATGAATAATGTCAAGAAGTGATCTGCCATCAGATACAAACTCCAGGAATATGACAATTGCAACAAAACACAGGTGCCAAGAGTGGGTGCGTCCCTTGTGGTGACTGACACAGAGTTGTCTGAGTGTATCATTACAAGATGACTGGACAACTGTAACTGAAGAAAGCAAGCCTGATAAAACACAGCCATCTTCTGAAAGTTAGTACAGAAAGAACACTCCTCTGGTGACCAGACTCTGGAGAGAGTGGTAGTGTTGGGAACTGCCCTCTACCAGAAAGAGAGGCATCTGTTGAAAGATGCAAGTTGAGGGGGTAGTATACCCTAGGATGGATTAGAGTGATCAAGCCATCACAACAGAGGGATGTATAGAGGAAGGTGGAGATCAAAGAGCAGGTAAGGTAATGCAGGACATGTTCCAATGATCCCACAGAGCCCATTTAAGAGGATGCACATATGCATGACCAAAAGGAATCAGGGCTCCTAGGGAAGCAAGAGCCTCCAGTGCAAGGCACAAACACACAAGAAAGAGGACTGAGCTTACCAAGTGCAGGTGTTGAAGAAAACCTCCAATTGAACAAGAAACTGAGTGAGAGTCAAAACAGATTTGGAAAGTTAGATAAATGAGCCCATGCGAAAGGCCTCTTGAAGAAAAGTGGAGATAGCAATTGTCAATTCTTGTCAAAACAGGGCCAGGAGAAGCCCAAAACTCTTAGAATAACAGATATGGAGACCTGAAATTATAAGAGGCTGTAGCAAGGTCAATGGAAGGGCACAGAACTAAAAAAAACACAACCAATGAGGACAAACCTGAGGACTGATGGGACACAAGACAAACAAGAATGTGAAGAAAAGCATCTGAAACTCTACTTTGTTTAACTCTCTTGCTATGGGCTCAGTTTATTCTACTGAGTTCATGACCCTAAACTGACCATTGGAATTTCCATAATATAACTTTTAAAATGTTTTGAGTATCTTCATAAAATTTTGCAATCTTTCAGTAAACATTACAAGTCCCTTGTTGAAAAAAAATCAGAATTTTTAATGAAGTATTTTAAAAATTTCTCTATGTATATATATGGAGTTAAAGTATTGACTGCTTTGAGTGCAAAGTGATTTTAATGTTAAGGTTAAAATACTTTTCCTTATCTGAAAATTGTCAAATTTCATTTGTGTAATTTCTTTCAGTAAAACTTTATATTTTATTTATTATTTTACCTACCCTAACTCTATATGCATTTGGCCAATTTGACTAACCTTATAACCACCATAAAAAATATGAAATAAACCTAAATTACCTTTATTTTCTTTCTATAATGACTGCAAATTGTAACAGGAAACTACAATTGTTTATGCTAAATATCTTGAAGCTTGTAACAGTATACATTTGTTTCTACTTAAATTTAGTTTTTTTATTGCCCTTTAATCCATGTATAACTAATAATTTTGCCAAAAACGTTGTAAATTACTCAAAGAATCTGTAGCTGTCATTACTGTTTCAAATTCTATAACCCATCAAGTGCTTGTAAACAAACCTCATGAAGAATTTTTACTATTATTGTTCTTTATCTTATCTTATCTAAAACAATAAGTTTCTAATTTTTAAATTTTAGTTACTTTTATAATAATAAACAGAGAATACAAATGAAAAACAAGAAATATAGTACTTACCTTGTTGTTTTTTTTGCTGTTAACTGTAGATGAAATTTAAGCCAACTTTTTTATATTGATGGTACTGCTACATTAAACAATTTTTCATTTAATAATGCTCTTAAGAAAACAGAATAGTAACATGTAAAGAGCAAACAATGTCCTCTAACTATCATAATTTTTCTGGCTTTCTAACCTGCAATAAGAACCTTTAAAAATTCAGCGAAGCTAGTCAATGTGATTCCTGTGAAAATAAATTTAAAACTGAACCAGGAAATAGACAATTCTCTGTACAGAAAACAATGCAATATAATATCCCATTTGATAGATTAAAACTTTGGTTTTCTATTAGTTATAAATAATGTAGTATAAAACATCAGAGAACTATTGGCAATTTGTGAAAAAGAGGATGTGACAGGTGGGTGTGGCAAGTGGGTCTGATTTACTAATTTATGGCTCTGTAAACAAATAAGATTGATGGCTATACAAACTATGCTTTGCCTGAGCAATATTTATATTAAGATAGTAATTTACATCAAATTCCACACTTTGTTGAGGGGTGGTAAATAAATTAGAGAAGAGGGAAGGTCTAGAGAGCAATTCTCATACTAGGGGAGATTAACGATTTTTTAAAAATATTTCCTTATAAAATTAAGAACATAAATCTTATATAATATTAAAATTTGATTTATAACCTGCATTTTGATGAAAAGTTTATTCACATACCATGATAATATTATAACTTATATTAAAATTTGAATTATAAACTATGTTTTAATACCAAATTTAATGATATACATTGAAAGTATAGTTGCTTAATTCAATTTTGAATGTAACCCTCTAAAAAGTGGTGACATGCTCACTTTGACCTTCCCCTAGTGAGAGGGTTAAGCACAGCCTTGGAAAGTGGGTCCAACACAAACTGAGAAAGTCATTCATCTGGAATCATAAAGAATGAGAAAGTGATTCGGTTTGTTTCCTAGTTTGAGAGCAATGTCACAATGGGCTATTTGCTGTGTCAACTGCAGCGACTTAAAACATGGATCTTATCATTGTAAGTTTGTAAACTTACCACTGTCCAATTTGTAGATAAGTGATACAGAGAGAACAAGCTGATAAAAGAATGCCAAACTCCTGACTTCATGGGGACAACAAAAAGTATGGAACAAAAGCCTGAGTTGGTTGGGAGACAGGTTATATAGCTCCAACCACCAACAAAGAAAAAAAAACACATTCTTAAGATAAAAAAGATGAAGAGGATCAGTGGGAAGAGGATAGGAAAGAGGATGATGAGACAATGTGTAGAACCCCAAGATCGCTGGAGTAGGAAGAACACAAGAGATTAAAGTGGAAGAGGCAAGCATTGGGGTGACCAGATCAGGACCAGTTCTAAAGAAGTCACCCGCTGAGAGCCATAGCAGCTACCCATACAGGAGAGGGGACGACCAACAGAAGTAAGAGGACAAGGAACAGGACAGGAGTAGTTTGATGTGATTTCCATGGATGGGTGGCAACAGAGGTACCTGTGGACCAGTGAGTTGGAAAATCAAGGAAATAATAGAAGATTGCAGGTAAGGCCTATAAAATGGGTGAGACAAATGTCTCAGATATAGGGGGAAAGGGATGTGGACAGTCTATTGAGTAGATACCAAAAACAAAGAAACCAAGTCAAAATAGAAAATGGAAAGAAAAAAATTGAAACCAAAGTGACAAACAAAGAAGAATAGGTGTTTCCACCAAAACTACTGGGGTTGTAATAAAGAACCTCAGTGAGGAAGTAAAGGTCAGAGATGGAGTAAAGACAAACAAAAAAAAAATAGCTGTAAAGAAAGACAAAGAAGGAAACAGAAATAAAAGATACAAGAAACCGGGGATCAAGAAATTTAGAAAACCAAGATCTGAGGCCATAGAAAAGCAGTCACAAAAACGAGTAGGACAAGAAAGATATGGGACAGTGTGGAGTTGGGACAGAAGGTGGCACATGAAGTAGATAATTAAATAAATGAAATGCTATTCTTTTTTTGATGATGTAAAGATATTTTCTGTTTTTCTATTTCTTATACTTATGAATTAGATATGTGACATACTGTCTTTATACCTGTACATCATATAACTTCATTTAGGTTGTTTTACTAAATCCTCTATCTAGTTTAAAAATATCACAATTTCTTTGGCCACAGATAAAAATAAGCTCGACTAGTTGTCAATGTTCACTTGATAATTACGAAATTTCTAAAGAAATGAGAAATGGAAAAGTTTTGGAAAAAGTTACCATTTTATTGATTTTGCTGTTTTCTTGTCCTCTTTTCTTCTGCTCTTCTTCTTCAGAAACATCTGGAAACGTTCTATTAACAGCTTGAACGAGCTCTAGATCACACAGTATCTGATATAGAGTACTTTTCTCAATGACAGACTTAGAACAATTTTCACTTCTTTTGCTTGACAAGCTGGAATTTATAGGTGCACCATGGGCTTCATCATGATCCTTGTTCAGCACTTTAAATTTTTATATTTAGATTATCTAAATATCACTGAAAGGCCATTATAATACTTTTGTTAAAACTTATAGAATTTTTATATTGAATAATATAAAACACCTTTATAAGCCTCATAAAAATATTCAGATCTTTAAACAGATACATTTTTTTATTGTTAAAAAAGAGAATGAAAAGTATATTAATGATAATTCTCCAATTAACATTTTATAATTTGATGTGCTTTTCTAAAATATTTCAAAATTTACCTCATTATTTTAGTGAAGAGTCATTTCAATTACAAGATAAACCTCCTGTAAATCTGAGTTTCACTATTACTTTAAAATATGATGAAACTAATAAAAGTACTGCAATATTCAAGCCTAATTTGTCCCAATTAAAAATAAAATTTATATTTGTTTCTCAAAGATGCATTTTCAGCCAGTTTAGAATCGAGCTGAAATTATTTTTAAAACATTATGATTTAATCTCTTGTTAATATCTAAATACATCTACATACAAGTATGTATGCTGAATTCTATTATTTTTGTTTTGTGTGTTTGACATGTGTGTGTATTTTTTTTTCAATGTGACGGGTCTTCAATCTTCAAAGATTCAATCCTTATACTATATCAAATCTTACCAAGTTTCTTGTTATAAAATATTCTAAACATTTTTTATGTGTTTGACTTTTATGACTGAAAAAACTCCAGTACAAAAAAAATAAAAATAAATATATACACACACACACACATGCACATGCAGTTATTAGTTAATGATTCTTGCATTATTTAAAGCCATTTTGATTGAGTTAAATCAACTAATTTTTATTACCTACACTACAACAGATAAAAACAGATCTTACATTCTTCTTTTAAAGTCATCTGTCCAAAGCTTCTAGATAATTTACTAAGTGGGTCATCCTTTTCCGAAGTTTTGTTGGGAATCAACACATTCGAGCAAGAAACTCGTCGAAAGGCTACTCGATCTTCTCCTGGTTGGAGATAGTCCTTACTCTTTACAACCCAGATGTATAACCACGGTTCCAGAAGACCATTCTGGTTTAATTCTGGAGCCATGGTATACACAAGGATAGTGGAATCCATCTCATCTGCAGTCAGGTAAAAATCTTTCAGGATTTCTTCCATCAAGGAGTCCCCAAGCTGTGTGCTATTATGAGATTACAGATAATGATATTAATAGTATTTCCAACTTTTTTTTTAAGAAACTGAAATGACTAACACATTTATTTCACCTTAAATTATCTAAAATAAAATGGTTTTCCACTAACTTTAAAATCGACTGGTGTGTTTAAATTTGGTCATTTTATATATGATTTAATAAATGAATTATGTTTTTCGTAAACACACATACGTTAACAACATTCTTAAGTGTCCATTTTGTTGAATATGAAAGTTTCAGATGTAAATTTTTCAATGTTATCAGTGTAATCCATATTTATTTACATACTTACAATTTTGCAAATGGTTAAATATTAGTATGATGAAAGTGATAAATATTAGAAAAATTAAACACAATTCATCCACATTAAGCTATACTTTAAGTAATCATTATGAATCTAAGTGCTTATCAAGCTGTTATATTAAAAAAAAATTATTGAATACATCAACAGCCAGTAAACTAATTTATCTATGTTTTCATGTAAACAGTCATCACACTGGAGATTGCAATGCTGTTTTAGGAACGTCTGGAAAAATTATTTTATTAGTATATTCTTCTTACTTAAATTATCTCTGTTTTACCTACAAATTTTGCTGTCATCATATAGCCAGGATTCAGTTCCACTTTCAGACTCTTTTACATTTCTCATGATGAGATTGGCAAGGGCTCTCCCTCTTGCTAGTTCTGAAACTGCTAATGCACTTTTGATTTTTCCATGTTTAACTAGAACAGACTTTGTAGGAATTAAGAACTTTTAGCATGGTACAAGAGTTAATTCATCATGAGAAATTTAAAGACAGAATGCAGAATAATGTGTAATAATTTTAACAGTAAAAAAAAGTTAATCAAATTTAACAATGGATAAAATTCATTATACAAAAATGTCAACAATTTTTTTTATCACACAGTAGATTAAAACCTGGTTTTAATTCTTTAACAAAAATACTTTTTGAATGAATGCACATATTAAGGAACCTGATTTTGCAAAAAACCCCAAAAAAACTGATATATATAACTTTTCTTTCTGAGTTAATGGAAGGACAAGCAATGGACACATTTTTCTTCTTTTTATGTTAGAATCTCAGAACAAACATCTCAGTTTTGGATTACATATACATTGGTGCAAAAGTGGTGCCCCATAGGTAATGTGAATAACAGTAAAACAAGTGTACTTACTTTTTTGTTTATAAAAGTAAATGATTGAATTGCTGGCCATTAACTCTGAAGTACTTACTGATTCAAAGTTAATGGCCAACAATCTGAACATTTACGTTAAAAAACAAAACAGTAACTACATTTTTTTATTGTTATTCACAATCCCTATGGGCACATATTTTGCACCACTCTATGTACATATATATGCCAAAAATACATGACAGCATTTGTGTTTACTTTTATTGCACAGTTTTATTAACTTTGACAAATTTGTTTGAAATAAATAGTTCATATAAATGTTTTTTCAAACATATATGTTTCAAACTGATTGTTTCAGTTGATATATATACGTTGGAATGTCAAAACAAAAACTTAAGTTTTCTTATTTTGTAGATGTTATTAACAACAATCTAAACTATAATTAAAAAATTTACGATGATCTGTCTTCACCTGCATAAAATTGTAAGATCCTCTCTGGTTGAAGTCAAAATTTGCTACACGAGACACATCCTCTTGACCTAGTTTTGATCTCATCAACTCTTGATACATTATGGCCTGTTTTAGTTTGATCTCCACTTGGTCCAAGTCCTGGAAAAAAGGAATAGCTATTTTCTGAAGTTACACAAAATGATGTTTGAAATAAATCCAAATACTTATGTCACTGTTGTCTTTGTGTCACACAAACAGATCAATACAACTTTATTATATCCTACAAAACAAAGGATAACAAGGTCCAAGACATTAAAACACGGTGATGAAGTTAAGGTGAGAACATTATATAAAGTTTACTTACATTTGCAGTCCAAAAGTCCAGTGCTAACTCAGATAAATAAGTTGATATACCTCGAAGATGGTTTACATTCTGGCAATGCTGAAGACGTTGAGTGTGGTAACATATTGCTTTGTCGTACAGACCTACAGGATGTATCAAATCAGACAAAACACAATACCAAACCATAGCAAAATGTGGTCTTAACTGACAAGATGTTATTGTTATTGGTTTATTAATTTTTTAATTATTCAAAATGTTACTCTAATAATATTGCACTATTGTGTTTACTTATATGCCTGATAACCCCTAGACACAAGGGTACACAAGATTCAAAACCAATATTATTTTTAAATTTCACTAGACAGATATACAAGTAATAATCTTACTGCCAATACCACCAACTCTGATTTAAAAGGATATCTTAGTTTTCTCAAGTAATGGTAAAAGAAAAAAAAAAATAGAGAGAGAGAGAGAGAGAGAAAATATTAACACTGTTTTACCAACACACCATTTTTAGTTATTTTGAAAACTTTGACATGACACAATAGACTTCAAAAACTTGCACATTAAACAGTTTGAAAGAACCATTTGTAAAAATTAATATAAAATTTTTGGAGGTGTATATTCCTACATCAATGTGGTAATAAAAAATAAAACTGTATCATGAATTAAATTAAATTAAGCCCAAAATAAAAGTTATAAAATTAAAAAACAGAACAAAAACATGTTACAATGATAAGCACTTTTTTAAAAAGTTACAAGAGATAAACACACACCCAATTTTCTGTAAGTAGTTCCAAGGGCTCCAATAACCATGCTCTCTGTCGTTTTATCACTGACTTGTCTGCATGCCGAGAGAGCTTCAGTTAGGATACTTTCAGCCTCATTAAGAAGACCAAGAGCTAACATAATAAAATTAAATGCCTTATGGGTTAAATTAATGAAAAGACTGTTACATCGCTAATATAAAAACTCCGAAAGCTCTTATTTAGAACTAGCTGTAGTACCTGTCTGTGTCCAGGTTATTAATGTAAAAAAATGTGGGGGTGGATGCTATAATAAATAATACAAAAACCCTAACTTTACACAATTTATTTATAACATAACTATATTATTATAGTATTCATTATTACCTCACCAAAAGTTTTGTATAAGCTTTTAGAATTAACTTTGTATTTACTTAAAACATGGTATACGCTGTTCAATGATCGGTGTGACTTTTTGGAGGAAGAGGTAGCTGCCAAAGTAGTGGCAGAAGGCATGCTTTCTGTTACCTGCTTTCAACACCCTCTTAATGTCCTTCCACACACTTTAACATTATTAATTAATTGATGGGCATTAGCTGCAGAAGTGTCTTATGGGCCAAAGTTGTAAGGCATAAGTCAAAGTAGGAAGTGGGTATAACTCAAGAAACGACTCTTTATATCAGCCTTATGGTGGCTGTTGGAGTAGAAGCTTTATCTCAGTTTATGTATTATTGTAAGAGTATCAACCACTTTTCTTCATTCTATTCCTCCATACAGAGTGTTAGCACACTCTCCAAGATATATAAGACATTTATGTGCCCTCCCCCCCCCATACTGTGTGCATGTTGTGTTATATAAAATTTGATAAATGTTTTTGTGGTGTAAGGATGTGATGCCATCTATGAATGTAATTAAAGTTAACTTATGTCAAAGATAATAAATGCTCAATAACAGCAATAATGGGGGTGGAGAGGTTCTGAACCACCATTAACATACCCCTTGTTCCAAACTATCATCTCACAAAGTTTGTTTGAAATTAGCCCAGCGACCCTACGAGTAGTTAGATAATGGACAGACAAACAGATTTTTGTGCTTTATATATATATATATCTATATACATAGTTGTTAAATATTTTTTACCTTACAAATGTCTATCAGAAATAGACAACCAAATATGAATACAATGGTGATAAAAAAGCATTTTGCTCCTCAAGCTCCTGGATATCTAATCTTCTGATCTAGCTTGTTAAATATATATACACACACACTCACATAATAACAATAAAACAAAATCCACAAAAAATCTTTCTAACTAAACCATCTTTAAAGATAAACTCCTTCAAAAAATGCTTTCTTGGTGGATTTTTTCTTTCTTATTTTTACAGACCGGATTTCTCATGATTTTTTGTAGGTTGGTACATTTTTTAGTTTCTGTATTTGGTGCTTAGTGAGTGTGTAATAAATTTACAAGTTGCCACCTCAATCTGTGGTTTTAAGTACAAATTATAGCAGAGTAAGTAAGCAGGTAATTAAATCCTCCCATTTGTTTTGCTCATTTTAGATAGACTTACTCAATTAAATGCTTCAGCTTTTCATATCTTTTCATTTGTTCATACCTAAAAAACATGCTGTGTATGTTACCAATTTCAGTAGCTAAAATAATAATATACTATAATGATAACCTGTATTAAACATGTGAACAAAAATCAATAATTCATAGCTCTACATTACCATTAAAAATATGGCCAATGTTTATTAGTGCAAGCCTCTGATATGTCTTCCATTTCAATTTCTTAGCCAAACTATGTTGTACAATCAGAAAGACAAGAGCTTGGCGCATATAATTCAGTTCTCCAAAAACAATAAAGTTCCAGTAAGCCATGGCTAATTGAGAATATACCTTTGTTAGGTCCCAAAGATTTCCTGCAAAAGTTAGTGAATTACATAATTACTATCTGTTTATTCTTCAAATATGAATATAATGTTGATAAAAAAAGCATTTTGCTCCTCAAACTCCTGAGTACCTAATCTTCTGATCTAGCTCATTAAAAGCACATGACTGTTTTTAAATATATAAAATAAAATTACTCAAAATTACTTTATTCAGTTAATTTATACAACACAAAGAACAAAACTATTAACATCTAGTTCACAAGTCAGGCCAGAAAGTTTTTTTTAGGTTTCTTTAATAGGCCATGAATGTGGTTTCATTTTCTTTAGTGGCTAAGGTTTTCCATACATATAACCTGGAGTCTGAAATGCTCAAAACTGCACTTAATTTGTAGTGGATGAACATAGTTGGAGAGAATTGAAATTTGTTTTCATTATGGATATGCCATAGATAATATGCAAGTGTAAAATCCCTCATTGTGGTATATGTTATGCATATAGCCACTGTGGATGTGCTTGAGATGGTATTGATCCATCAGTGAAGATATCCCATAAGCTTGGCAGCCAACCTCGTGCAATTCGAAAGGTTAAACACAAAGTGTCACATATAATGGGGAGAAAAAGGAATAATATTTCCAATCTGTATGTAGATGATGATGACAAAGAGGAAACCATTATTAAGAAATACAATCCTACATGTATAAAAATGACTTACTGGTCCAGAAGCAATATTTATCGAGAATGTAGCTCAAAATCAACAGGTATTTCAACTGCCATCGAGTAGTGGACATAACATTCCTCAGTTATTGCAACGTAAAGAAAACATCTGGTGAGATTTTGATGATCAAGAAAAAGGAAGGATGGTATGTTTTGTGGAACAAGCATTTTGTACACTGTGCAAGATCATTTTCCCAAAGATAGTGATGCCATTGCTTTAGCCACATTCAAGAAAATAGAGAATTGAATTAATAATGATGATTCAACTAAGATTATTGCATTAGCAATACAATGTCAGTTGCCAGAGAGAAGTATTCAATGACATGTAGTCATGGCAGTTTTATTCAAATCATTACCATCCTGAGAATTCAAACAATTGATGAGCTTATTGTAACATCAAGAGGACACTTTGAACATTTGTTAAGTGGAAAACAATTAATTCCAACAATCAGACATGTTGAGAGATTCAAGAAAAAGAATGTATTGTGAAGTACATTTTGTCCAACAAAAATATTCATATGCTCTCTTGGAGAATGAAAACACTAATTATCGATGGCATAGAAGAAACTTGTTCTCGATTTGTTTGATAATCAATCCTTAAAACCATGTACAAAGGATACATGGAATATTTTCCAAACAGGAATGATCATATGGGTGTAATGACCTTTCACAAACTGTCAAAAACTCTGACAGATTCAGATACAAAAGTGAAAAAGGGGGGTGGTTTATGGTTCAGGAATTCTCATTTATGAGAACTTGAGATTCTTGAATCGGTTAATCTTCACAACTGAAAATCCACAGATGAGAAACAACTGTATGCACATGTTGGCTATTGTAGAAGCCAATCTCAAAGGACAGTATGTTGATCATTTTAATGGAACATGTCTCCAATGTATTACTCATTCAACATGTTGTCGACTGCCGTTCCAACCAATTGTGATGTGTGTTCATTACCTTTTTGAGTTATTGATTACATTCAATTGTACACTCATGAAGATCACCACAGCATTCTTTCTGATTGCAAAGACAAATTCAAACTGTTAATGGGATATTAGTTACATGTTCAGAACCAGCAAATTTGAATTGATAGCTTACTGCAATATTTACCTTGTATGACAGCATACATTGTGATGGATTAGAAGATGAAATTGGAAGAAATGTATCTCTGAGAAAATTCCCTTGAGCATTATGGTAAAAGATGCATGAGTTGGTATAGATCCAGAGTGTTTGGAAAATAAAGAGAAAGAGCTGGATGATATTAGCATAAGCTACTATGATCACATTTCTGCCGGAGACTTCAAACAAGATTGGTCTGCTATTTTATTGATTGTAAAAGCCTTACTAATGTGTGTAAAGAAATAATTCACAGAAATAAAGGAAGTAACAATTCAAAGCGATAATGCTCGATGCTACCAGAATGGATGACTATTGTATGGAATGTTTCTTGTTGCAAAACAAGTAGGACTACCAATCAAAATATTTACCCACACAGAGACTCAAGATGGGAAAGATCCAATTGATGGACATTTTGCAAAAGCTACAGCATTTCTAGTCCAGTATACAGGTACATGAAATGATATCATTACTGAAAGAGATGCTGTGGATGGTTTGAAAACCAATGGTGGAATGAATAGAAGTGTAGCTGAGTTGATTGTACAGAGTCGAACAAAATTGCAACAGTTTTTAGATGAGCACGAAGAACAATTGAAAGCATTCTAAAAAAAAAGTATCTTGATACAATGCAGCAACATTTAATTATGATTTGGAGCAGGTGCATGTACAACTTTATTCTGTAATTCAATCAACTTCAGACGTGACACTATCTATGAAACCAACTGCTTGCATTCACGATGAAAATGATATTCCCAATTTTGATGTGATTAAGTTGAATGACTTGTCGGTCACCATGAATGATGCATCTAATGTTAGTGATGCCGATTTCGATATGTTATTGGAGTGTGACGATGCTAACAATGCAGACCCAGTAGAAGGTGCTGAAACAATAACTGACAATTTAACTGGAATTGTAGTTTTTGTTGGTCAAATTAAAACTTCTCGTTTGAGATACAAGAAATCACAATCATCCCACTTATCAATAGATGCGCTCAATGTACCCAAAGAATCCGAGGAAGACAATTCCAAATGTTCCACACGTAACTGTGTCTTCTAGAGTTCAAAGATGTTTGCAAAGCTGTTGTTAGCCAACTTGATATCACACATTATGCATGGCCATTGCAAAGAATCTTACTGATAAGGGGGAAGATTAATTTTATTCAAGGAAGTACCCCATCATCTGAAATCATTTTACCAGAAGTTAATTCAATCAGTAGCAAAGAAACATTTCCCCAATGTTGGGCCTTACAACCAGCATATGGATGCTGTTATGGTTCAAAGTATAATGATCCTTTCAAAGATGAAATTACCAAGATGTTTCAAGAAGAAGCTAACGATGATGTCAAAAAGTTGAGTCTACCAGGACACATACCAGAGGCATTCAACAACCACATCTTCAATATATCGTTTGCATTTTTGATGAGTACAATGGCAATATTATTATTGCAAATGTACTCTGAATCTTCAAGAAGCAATATCTTTGGCATGATGATGTATCTCAAGTGGAACATTGTGCTCCATATCCTACAGACAGCCAGATCAAATCCATGATATCCTCCATGAAGGTCAATATGAAAAGAAGTATGTAAGAAACACAACAGAACTCATTATCATTATTACACAGGTGATTCTATCCATTTGTCATACAATTTCTAACTGTAAGGCTCCTGAGTTCCAAAAGCCTAAAACTTTTGAAAAAAAAACAACAAGTATTTTTTAAAAGTATCATTGAACTCCTGTTTCATAAAGGTTTTGATTTATGCTATTTTTAGCATGTAGAACATAGTTCCATGTTCACGTTAAAAAAATCCTGACAAAATGGTACTATATTTCTGGGCCTGGCTTGTGAACTCAGTGTTAATAGACTTTCAAATTTGGAATTTATTTTTTCTTTACAATTTAAAAGAATTATTGTATAAAGTACATGAAACTAGGAAAAATAGTAACAGAGGTTCTGTTCAACAGTACAATTTCACATGATAAGTGGACAACAGAGAAACTACTGGCCAATCAACAAAATAAAACTCAATTTCAAAATGTAAACTTTTCCATTCATAAATTCTCCCAACACAGCTATGAAGTAGCCTTAATTAACACTACCTCCTTTAATAGATGGTGGTTAAGGTGCTCGACTCACAATCTGATTGGCACAGGTTTGAATCCCCATCATTGAACATGCTTGTCCTTTTAGCCATGGGGGCATTATAATTTAATGGTCAATCCCACTATTCATTGGTAAAAGAGTAGCCGAAGAGTTGGCAGTGGGTGGTGTTGACTAGCCACCTTCTATCACAGTTAAATTAGGGACAGCTAGCACAGATACCCTTGTGTAACTTTGCACAAAATTCAAAACAAACAATAGAAATCAAACCTCTAATGGACCTCTTAAACCAATCCCACACACAGGGAGAAAACATTTTGTCTAAGGGCATGCAGGTCGGGATCTAGGTTTCAAAACTTATAACTGAGATCTATAATAACACAGGCCAAGATTTTATTGTCTAGAAATGTTAACATGTTCTACAGTAATTCCTGTATGCTGAATCTAAAAATGATATCCATTTTTCTCCATCATGTACAGATTTTTCACAAAACGTCATATGTGTTTTACATAAGTGAATCTTTTTCATTAAAATCGGGTCACATTTTTTATGCTTAAAATGTCGACAACCACTGGCTATAGATTTCTCTAGACTAATTGCAACATGAGATTATTATCGATCGTTACAGACCTCACAAGAAACACACCACTAGTATAAAAGCAGTTAACAGGCTGCATGATGTGTCATTTATGGATAGTACTTGTTTGTGCATGCACTTTGACATTATTTTTTTTCTTTTCAATATTATTTA